GACTACACTGGCAATTATTATGATGTATTTCGTCGTGTAGTGAAAGCCACTCAAGGAGATCTAATTGTTGCTGAAAAGACAGAAATAGCAAAAGTTAGTTGTTACTGAAGACTTGAAAGATTCTGACGATAGTCCCGTGAGCTGTGAACATCCATATCTTTTCAAGCTTGAAACATTTTTATTTTTCTAGATTTACAAAAATAGTCTCTATAATATCCAATTTTCACAAAATTTCAGGTGGTCGATCTATTGTTGCCATACTATTACCAGATGGAAAACATGGCTGCATTGTATGATGTTGATCCAGCAGATGATATTGACATCAACATTAGAGCTGACTACTCATCTCAAGTCGTCTATATACTGATCACGACAGAAAACGCTACAGGTTGATTGCATATCCTAATTGAAGTTTAACTTATGACACAAATGGTTCAGTTCCTAACGCGATTGACCAGGATGGCCAGAAACCAAAAGTGGAGACTTCCGGAACGTATTACAAGGTACTTCATTTTCCAGTTCCCAAAATTTACTCTATATTGCTATACAGTTGTCAAACTCGCATCATTTTTTGACGTTTCGAGTAGGTACTTGTTTGTAGTAAAGTCATGAAGTCAAGTTTTAGTGCAAACAAATGAAACCATCTTTTTTTTGCAAAATGGTTTATTACTGCAGTTTGAAAATCTATTCAATGGATTTTGATGAAATGTTTGGTATTTACATATTGGATACTGTAAGCTATGCCTTTTTGATAAGTGCCCTGAAACAACTACAGTGGACATGCCCACAGTAATGCGAACTGGCTTAAAGCCGATAATACTCGATTCTGGTTCTCAGAAGTGCCAGAACCTCCTAAAGTAACTTCAGAACTTTGTTTAACACATACGTCTGGCTCTTAACTAGTTCTACAATTAATTTCAAACCAACTACCTTTTGACACTCTTTTAATTCATATTAGATATATGGTTGTTTTGTTAACACACTTTGAATTATCTATTTATTAGTATAAAAGGGTAGCAACTGTGAGGGCAAAGAACCTCCTAACCTTAGCCTTAAATGCCCCCACTCTAATTTCTCGCATCGTATCCACCCGTAATCACTCCATGCGAGAGGAGTTCAGATCATCAGGAGATTATCCGGTTCCTGTACTCAAGAAAGGTAACTGCGAGTTTCCAAAAAGACAAGCAATTCTAGCCTCTTTTAGTAATAACGCAGTAGACTTTGAAATCAGGAATAATGTTCAGAAGAGTCTGACAAGCTAGTTCCTTAAATGTTCTTTTTCTCTCAAAAAACTTGAATTTAGCTTATTCGAACAACTGCTGACCAAACGAAACAGATAACGGTAACTGCGAAGAAGTCATCAAGCACCAATGTCCGTATTTGGATCAACTCTCCAAACACTGCTTTTCTGGCATCTAACC